CTGGTGTTCTCCAGCGGGGAGAAGCGGGAAGCAGCGGCGGCGTGCCGGCGGTGTGCGGAGGAGCAGGAGCACGCGGGCTCCGGGAGCTCCTCTCCCGTGCCGCCGAGGAGCTGGGAGATGCGCAGCTGGGGGAGTGGGGAGTGTGCCGAGGTACAAGGGTGGAGGAGATGCAGAGGGTTTCACCACCCAGCTGCCAGGTTAGGGTCATGCTTTATGTCGGCAGCGAGGGAAATGGTTGGTGTTTCTTGCATTTCCTATGATCTCTAGATAGGGTTTCCTTGGCTGAGGTCACCTGGCCACATCTGAGCTTTGAAAGCGGCTGGTACAGATGTGAAAGATGTGCTCTTTCAGGAACAGATAATAGTCCAGAGAGGGGCTGTGTGCTGACAGCTCCTGTCGTGTTCAGTACAGATTTCTGCCCACCAGCCTCTCTGATACTTGCTTCTCTTCTCTTGGACCACACGCCATCGGTTGTATTTACCTTTAAGAGGTTACAGTTCCTACGCTTTCTTGTGAATTCAGCAGTTTAGACAAAGATCTTCATGAAATACAAACCACTCTAAGCACACAGCCTCGAGCACTGCTAAAACAGCAGTCTGTATTCTTCTGAGTAGGGTCTGTGGATCCCTCCTGTCCTCCCAAGGTCTCATTCATCTCCCTTCAGGTCTGGTACTGCCGTAACACAATTAAGATTGAACTAGTCCACGGGAACCTCTGGTTTTCGTTTCCTAGGCACAATCAGGTGCATTAAGAAAGCTGTAAGGCAAGCTTTGCATCTATTAAAGGAGATAATGGCTTTCCCTTATACCTGCTTGGTCAGAAGTAAAGGGTATAGAATTTCCCTGTCCTTGAGATCAGTTCCTATAAAAAACCACTCTACTACCTTTGTAACACTCTCACTGCTTGCAATTTATGTCATTATGTTTATTTCAAAACCTCAGATTTTGACGTTTTGTTCGGAGGAGGAAAAAACAATCTAGCTGGTTGCCATGAAATTTAGTTTAGACTAAAATATGTGCTGTGACTCAGTCTGCTGAGTGACCTTATGCACCGCTCATTGTAATCCAAAATTGCCAGGCAAGTAGAGTAATTAGTTGTGCAAAATGAAGTAACTTTAAATCCTCGCATTGAGTAATGACCCAGAAAAATCACTTAAGCTGTACGATAGAAAAGACTCCGAGCATCTGGCTTTAGTTTTACTTTTGTAGCTCTGCCCCCTTTGATGAAGAAGCAGGCTCTCCCCCTCGTCCCTGCAGAGACCCTGGCTGTCCGTGTCTGCCCAGAACGAACGCCGGTGGCTTAGCGGCCGCTGCCCTAGGACATCAGAACATGTCACAAAGCAGCAGGGTGAGGCTGACGCAGGGCGTTTGTGCTGAAAGGACTGTGTATTTTTGATAACCCGGCAGCTCCTATCTGTCCAAAGAGCTGCTTTGTAACGTCC